ACAAAATATCATAAATACCCTTAATAATTTATATTTTTTACACCATCATTTTAAAATTAATCTACCACCGTCACAATATTTTGCATCTTCTACATATTTCATCTCCCCCAAATACCTATGACAAAAAGTCGATGTACACTGTATGAGAGATTTCCATGTCTTTGCGTTGCCTTCTTTCGCTCGAAATCAACACAAACAACTTAATACATAATTTTATACTATCAAAATCTTTGTTCAAATATTCAGGCTTTTAAATATCACTGTAACTTTTTTACTTTTCATCTTTTTTCAGTAATTATAACTTATACCTGTAATTAATTTATGATTGAATTGCACTTTTAGGGTTGCTTACTTTTCTTATATATAACGATCTCTATTGCAGCCATATAAGAATGCTTTAATAAGACTTAATTCTTCACTTTCTCTATTAAAATTGGTTTATAGGATTGGTGTTTATTTTTTCTGGATTGAAACATGATAATTTTTTTGGATAGATTATCGGTCTACCTAAGGTGAGTTTCTCGTAAAGGTTTGTTGGGTTGAAGAAATTTGTTTTTTATGCACTAGGGTTTTAAATAGAGCAGAAGAAGATGAAGATGGAGAGAGCCGAAGTGATGGTGGTAGATTATAAATCATTTAAAATAAAAAAATATTAATTAAGGGTATTTAGGATATTTTATGTATAATTATTTTAAATTTTTAAAATTAAGTGGTGAAATGAGATGATTTGGTGGTGGAAATAACACAACTCTAAATGAAATATTCAATTTATTTTATAATAAATTGGGCTGAAAGGTATAAAAGCCCAATCATATTTCAGGCCTGCTTATAAGTTAAAAGCTCAATATGCTTACAGGCCTGCTTATAAGTTAAAAGCCCAAAAATGAGTAACATTAAATAAGGCATTATCAATATTACAGAGCTGCTTACGTCACCTGGTTTAAATGCATCCTAGATTACCAATTTAAATGCAATAATATCACGTCATCCGTAATTAAAGCATAATCATCAATCAGAGTTTCTGGATTTTCCTATAATGTAAATTGCTCCCTTTATTAATAAAGTGCTTATAATTTCTTCAAACGGGAATTAAATCCCGTTACAGAAAAAATGAGAATCCATCATCTTCTCCAATCAGCCACGCTGCTACTCCTTCTGTCAGTATCAATTCTGCCAGCAGAATCCGATGTCAACAACGGCCCGCCGTTTTCATGCGACGCGTCAAACCCTTCAACGAGCTCGCTTCCGTTCTGCAACACTCGTCTCCCCATCACCACCAGAGCCAGCGACCTCGTCTCCCGCCTCACGCTCGACGAGAAAGTCCAGCAGCTAGTCAACACGGCGGCCGCCGTCCCCCGCCTCAACATCTCCGCCTACGAGTGGTGGTCGGAGGCTCTGCATGGCGTTTCCCGGCACGGTAGAGGCGTCAGGTTCAACGGCACCGTCACCTCCGCCACCATGTTCCCTCAAATCATCCTCACCGCCGCTTCATTCGATTCCCATCTCTGGTATCGCGTCGCTCAGGTACGATCAGTTTATCGACCAAGGCACATTCAATTCATAGATATGCACACCAAGTGTTTGCAATATTGACTGAATGAACTTCAACAAGTATAATTCTATGTTATAGGCAATTGGAGCACCTTGTAGCCGCCGTTGTACCGCGCCCCATGCTGCACTGCCGTCTTCTCCGCCACCCTTTAGATATATCCGGGACCTCGATGGGGGAGAGGCCAGGAAACTTCCGGAGAAGACCCTTTGGTCGCCGGAAATTACGCAGTGGCCTACGTTAGAGGAATCAAGGGGATAGTTTCAAAGGTGGGCAGCTCAAGAATGGCCAGCTAAAAGTTTCTGCATGTTGCAAACACTTCACTGCTCATGATTTGGACAACTGGAACGGCGTCACTCGTTACATTTTCGATGCCAAAGTACTTTCATTACTCATTATTCTCCCATTACAATTCATGAGACAATTAACATTAGAATGCGTTTAAATAGATTTAGAAATAAATTTGAGCAATATATAATTGTGTAATGGTTTTTTAGGTAAGCAAGCAAGATTTGGCGGATACGTACCAGCCACCATTCAGGGCTTGTGTGGAAGAAGGGAAGGCGAGTGGCATAATGTGTGCTTATAATCTCGTAAACGGTGTTCCGAGCTGTGCAGATAAACAACTCTTGACTGAAACTGCTCGTCAACAATGGGGTTTTCAAGGGTAAATAAATATATTTAAAAAAAAAAAAGAGGTACATTGCCCTGAATCCGGTTATGATTCTATGAGCTCACACTGGTTTTCTTTTTTCCAATTAATATAGGTACATTGCTTCAGATTGTGATGCGGTGGCGATTATACATGACCAGCAAGGATATGCCAAGGAGCCAGAAGATGCAGTTGCTGATGTTCTTCAAGCTGGTATGTAATTAATTATTTTTCTCCATTAACGGGTCGTTAGCACGACATTTTAGGACAATAATTTTGAATTAATCCAATAATCTTGCTCAATTCCCGCTAAGAATTTATGCTAGATTAATACTTTATGCAGACATGTTGCATGCTAGAAGTAAGAACTAGGACCATTATATAGGTTTTTACATATACAAGCTATAATAATTGTGCTAATTCCTTTTATTTTGTCCCTATATATAAGCATGCTTCTCTTGAAATGAGTGCTCTATTTTGTTGATCATGCACGCGCACCTTCTTCGCCTTCAAGTTTATCAGCTTTTTAACTTTTATCTCAATGTACACGTCGTCGTCACCCTCATAATATTTTTTTTAAATTCATTCTCATAATTATTTTTTTAATTGTCACTGTAGTCAACTACTGATTACGCAAATACTGATGATCATGCCCGTCACCAATTTATGAGATACGACGATTCATTATCATATATCGTTTCACTAAAATTATTTTTATTACACAACAAATACTTCTACAGGCATGGATGTGAATTGCGGCAGCTACTTGGCCAAGTACACTAAATCAGCTGTTGCAAAGAAAAAAGACTTACAACATGACCTAGACGGAGCTCTTGTTAACCTTTTCTCCATCAGAATGAGATTAGGACTCCTCAATGGGGGATCCGAAAAAACTGGAATATGGAGACTTTAATCCAACCCCAGTAATCTGCAGCAAAACCCACCTCGATTTTA